GGAAGGAAGGAAGGAAGGAAGGAAGGAAGGAAGGAAGGAAGGAAGGAAGGAAGGAGAAAAGCAGCTGAGGACATGTTATGACAGGATTCAGACAAACCTAGGCCACAAGGGACAATCATAGATGTGACCTAAAATGCAATTCTCCTCTCTCTCAAAAACAAAGAAGTTCATACCTGTGTAGAGAATGACACCAAAGTACCCTTCAAAAAGGAACATGACAGATCCGGGGCAATGGTTAGCATCTATCAAGGTCACTGTCATGGTCTCTCTGCCCATCTCATCCAAAGCCACAATATGGCTATCTCCCACTTCCAAAGGACGGATCCACTGCTTAGCTACCTAGAATCCAAAGAAAGACATAATAGAATCAATGTCAGACTTTGCCTAAGAGATGAGAAAATGAGTAGGATAATGGTGAACTACATTTCCCAGCATTCTGCACACTAGAAAGGTCTGTCAGTGTGTATTTCAGCAACACCAGGAGAACAAAGAGCTGACTAAGAGAAGTGGTAGAAGAACAATTACATGTGCCTAGGTTGTACCTTCAGCCTGAGATGTAGAATTTGACCAGAAACAGGTGAACAATAAACTGGTTGGTTCCAGGTGCTAGAAAGCCCCACAGTATGGTCACTGTGCATATGAGAAAGAAAGAACAAGCGAGCCTGCCCAGCTTTCCTGATATTCCAAAAATCCACCGCAATGGGTGTACCGGCAATCAGAGTCCCATTCATCACTCCAGGTCCTATAAAAACAATGAATGCATTTGAAAACTAAAAAAAAAAAAATCTCAGAAAAGTTAAGATGAATTTATGCATCAGTAAAATTCCAAACAAACTTATTAAAAAAAAAAAAATGGGGTGGGGATACTGGTATCCAAAATGATATCCACAGACAGTAAGAACTAAACTTAGATTAGGCTAATAAGGCAATATAGCATGCTCTCTTATTTGCTTAGCACTTAGGATTTCAATTGCTGTGTTTCTATGACACATTCACAGTTTGACACCCAAAGCCATAAACTGATCACAAGGCCTATATCTGCGCAATACAGGCCATAAGTCCCCAACCTATTCCTATATGCAGACTGCTATATAATCTCTACAATTTTTTGAGGACCATCAGTGGAGGGCAATGCAGCCCCTGTGAGCCCTACAGCGTGTGTGTGTGCGCGCGCGCGCCTTTGAGTCAGTCTTGACTCCTGGCAACTCTAAAGCAGGACTAGCATTCACCATTTCCCAGTTTCTAGCCTGGTGCCTTAACCACTGAACCGAACTGGCTCTCTCCCTACAGCATACATATTTAATAAAGTGTAGTAGTAGTAGTAGTAGTAGTAGTAGTAGTAGTAGAGAATGCGTCCAGAGGACCTCCAAATTATTCTTTTTAATGAAAAATGGCCTAAATCTTGTGGGACAGTGAAACCTTATGACATTTTAGCACTCCAGCTAAAGAGATTAGGACAAGACCGCGGTCCAGCGCAAAAAACTTTTGCGGCACCCACGGGCAGCACTTTACAACTGCTGATTTATGAGTAGACGAGCACTATAAAACTTTGTTCTGGAGCTCAGTCCACACACCCGCCCCTTCCCTAAATCAGTATGCAGAGAGCACCGCGAAAGCTTACTGCGATTTGCCGTAGCCTTGTAGCACAGGAAAGAGAAGGCAGCAAAAAGGGATGGCTCTCCTTTCCCAGATGCAAAAATGCCTGCTCGGCGAGCTTCCCAGTGGAGGGAATTAAAGAACTCTTTCCTGAGCAAGTAGGAACGTCCTGTCACTTTCCCAATTTTGTCCTCACGCAGCAGCTTTTCCCGCCGAAGAATGGAAGAACCAAAAAAACAATTCGCCCGCTCGCAAGGCGTTACGACAAACGAGCATGCGCGGTACTGGCCGCGAGAAGAAAAAAAATTGCGCCGCTAGCCGGAGAACGCGAACCAAGACGGTAAGCGCATGCCCGTTATCGACCTGCCGGGGAGCTCATGCGCAGAATAGTCATAATTTGAAGGTTACAGTCGTGATCCTCTCGCCCACTGTTACTCAACTTCAGAAGCTTTAAGATGTGCGGACTTCAACTCCCAGAATTCCAAGCTGTATGTAATCCCACGGTCTGAAGACAAAACTTCCTGGATACTTTTGACGCCTCCCCCCCACCCCGGAAGGCTGTTATAGAGGCCCATAAGAAAACAGTAGAAAAATCCAGGATTTGTGCGGAGCTGCGACTAGGCAACAGCAGCCTTTCCCTTCTCAAGCAAAAGGTAGCAGCAAAGCCTGCGTGGTGTTTGTAACGCGAGTAAGCCAGGACTCTTTTGCACTGCGAAGAAAATGGAGCTGATGTCTTTACTTGGGGCGGGGGCGGTGATCACGAAAGGAGGCTGCGGCTGAGGCTGTTCGGGAGATTTTTATTAATCTACTCCGTTGTAGATTAATAAAAATTCATATAATGATACTTTCGGGCTGCTGTTGAGAGTTAGGACCCTGCAGCGTATCCGAGGTTTCTTCTGGCTTCTGATTCTCCCCGTCCCTAGCGCAACCAGGATATTAAGCTGAAAAGCCCCCGGAAACGTTTGCAGTGAGGATAATTTAAACCTTTATGTGACTGCCAAGCAAATAACTTATCCTGCATTGCACTACCAGTTCTCACTTCATTTGAGAAAATAAGAGTTGCATTAAAGTTTCTTCTAAAGGAGAAGAGAATTTTGGAGGCATTCGCACGAGTTTTGTCTTCCTGCACTTAAAGCTCCGCATTTTGAGAGCTTGATTCCCTCCGATGACGAGGTAAATTGCAAAATTTGCCCTCCGAGCGCATTCACTCCATTTATTCTCTAGTTGCCTGGTATAAAAATTGTAATGCTTTAGTTTTCGCTCTCTGCCAGGCCAGAGCATTTACCATAAACAAATGATAAATTGTGGTCTAAAATCTTTGTGTTTTCAGAGCTGGGAAAGCTACTGTTTCCTGCGCCCTGAAGACTAAATGTAGTTTCATACCAACAGTATCTACAATGACTGCATTGATTCCACAACTTTCATCTTTGGCTTGACACAATTGTACTTTGCATAACTAGTTTAATTTTTGAGCTGTACTGCTCCTTCCTTCCTTCCTTCTTTCCTAGCAGTATCTTGTGTCATGGAGAGTTCTAAGAATTTAACAGCTTATACATCATGTTATGACATTTTGTTTGGTCCTAATAAATGTACCACCTATCTGTGGAATTAATACCTCTTTCTCATAACTGTTTTATTAATCTGATGAAAAGGAAGTGATTCACCAAAAATATAATACATTTGTTAGTTTGTTTTTATGCCTTTTATTGTTTTTACAGTAAGTCTAACACAGCTACTCCTCCAGAAATTAGGTGTAACTAGTTACTTGTTATCTATTTGTTGCTATTCTTGTCTTCTTGCCTTTCTTCTATTCCATCGCCTGTATTTACTGTATTTTGTTTGCTGTAAGCTCCTTGGAGCAGAGACGTGTTAACTTGTTGCTTGTAAAAATGCCGTGCTGTTTGCTGTCACAATGAAAAAGTAGCAGTAGTCTCTGTTCTGAGAAAAGCAGAAAAGACGAGATTGAATGGAATACAGTCTGAAATGCTCAGCTTTCTTTCCGTGACCGTATCTGCCCTATGTGACTATTATCCTAGGTTCTTGAAGAATCAGTACTTCCAGGGTATTTAGGATCTCAACAAGATGCCATATCTTGGTTCAGAGGATACAGTGAAGGAGCTGAAGAGGGCCCTGTCCAACCCTCATGTGCAAGCTGACCGTCTTCGCTATAGAAATGTTATCCAACGAGTGATCAGGTCTGTACTGAGATGCTTGTGTTATGCTACAGTCCTCTTGTATTCTGTCAATTATAGCTGGTCTTATGAAACGCTGGAAGTTTTTAATCAATTAAAAATACATGCAATAATTGCTTTAGATTGCTATTCAGATAATATTTTAACAACATTAACTATCAAAAAAGTTTAAAAATAATTGGATCTGGTTAGAGTACGTATAATCTATCTTTATATTGTTAATACAATTTTTTTACAACTGTGCAGTTTTTTTTCAGATACATAGGATATAAAGTTTTGCTTATTTCTATTTTGTATACTGTACTACACCTGCAAAAGACTTTGTAACAGTAACATGTTATTTTATAAAAGCCAATCTTAACAAAATCAAGAAATAGTATTTGCGATTACTTGGAACATAAATGGAAATCTTTGATTAAAGGAAAAAGGAAAAAAATATTTTGTGCTGTGCAATATTGCTTCCTCTCTCTGTCTTATTGTTATTTCTAGTTCAATTTTTTTAAAATGTTCTGGTTGTCCAGGCCAAGATTATATTAAAAAAGAAATCAACATTCTGTCTCTAATGTTGTGCAAAGTATAGCTAAATACTATAATAATATTTTCATATATTTAGTTCAAATATTTATTTATTTATTACATTTATAAGGTGGCCCAACTCTACAGAGACTCTGGATGTCACATATTTAAGTTAGAGATACATTACATATTTTAACTACTCTGTGGAGATGCATGCTGAAGATTGCAGCTGACCACGCTCAGTTGTCATGCAGTGCTTTAGTAGAGGTATCAAGCAGGTTTGTGCCTGGGATTTCATAATGAACCCATGATCCAACCCCCACCTTACCTTGGTTCATTAGATGAATTCACTCCTTTTCCTTCTTCCTTATCTTCATTTCCTCAGCTTCAATATAAATCCTAGCCATTTCCTTTTCATAATCCTTTTCAAGTGGGGAAAAAATGTAGTGTGCAATCCACCTAGTACTCTGGAATATAACCACCTTGGATCTCAGCCAATTATAAATATAATTTAGTCTTGCAATCTGTGTATGAAATTCATACTTCCTTTTCATTTTTGCAAATGTTGTTTAAAAAAAAAACCTTTCTGCTACTCTTAAACAGGTAAAGGAAATATGCAGGGCACTGAAACGTTTTTTTTTAGATTTTTTATCCCGCCTTTACTATTTTTATAAATTGCTCAAGGTGGTGAACATACCTAATACTCCTGCCTCTTCCTGTTTTCCCCACAACAACAACCCTGTGAGGTGAGTTGGACTAAGAGTGACTGGCCCAAAGTCATTCATCTGGCTTTCATGCCTAAAGCAGGACTTAGAACTCACAGTCTCCTGCTTTCTAGCCTGGTGCCTTAACTACTAGACCAAACTGGAAAACCCTATTTGGGTTTCCTTCTGGCTTGTCAAATTTTATTATTGTCCATATACTTTCAAACTTATATGATTTACCTATACAAAGTATTAGGTATACATCATACTATTATGGGTGTAATTTAACTGTGAATTCCCTTCTCCTTACACTCTTCTATCAAATTTCTAGCCAAGGAATACCTTCCAAGGGAACAGTTGAAATTTTCTTATTTGACCTGGTGTTCAAAAGCTAGGCTTAAGAAATTATTTAAATTGACACCTTGTTTATATTGCATATTTCTTGATGTATTTATTTTTTCTGAGACTTTGAAAAGTGGAGGATTACATAGAAGTAAGTCAATCAAAGTATGCCGAGTTTGGAATATGTAGCCAAAAGTTAACATAAAATGCTCCAGGTAAAGACTTTGGATTTTTGTGGTGCAGGACTTACTTTGGCTGTGTTTGCAGTTAAGCTGCTCCACTGAGGTGGAATGCAAGTGAAACTTAAAATGTATTTGCATAAATATATACACAAATTCTGGGTGACAACTTCTTATGGTTTATGCATTGGCTATAATAATGACAAAGTTATCTTTTGATTTTTCAGATAGATTAATATGGGATCCCCATCGCTGTATTTAAATTCTGTCTTTTTCTTGCAGGCATATGACCCAAGGTGTAGATGTCTCCAGTGTCTTTATGGAGATGGTTAAAGCTAGTGCTACCATAGACATTGTTCAGAAGAAGCTAGTGTACTTGTATATGTGTACATACGCTCCACTGAAGCCTGATCTAGCTCTTTTAGCTATCAATACTCTGTGCAAAGACTGTTCAGACCCCAACCCTATGGTTAGGGGTCTGGCTCTGCGTAGCATGTGCAGTCTGAGGTAAGGAAATATACTGCTTGCTCTGACCTTCACTGCAATCACATATGAGAGAAGGGTATATTGTGTTATACACTCAGATACAGAGGTTATTGGGCAATAGCTCATGTCCTGAACTGTGACGTTTCAGTTCTTTTAACTTGAATTTAAGTCTTATTAGTAATACATCACTACAAATAACAGATCCCTCCTAGTTCTGGGACACACTTGAAGAGCTTTCTGTTTTGTTGGCCTAGACTGAATTTCCCTTGAATTATAGCAGGGTAGACTGCTATTTTGCTATCAGATCTGCAGAATCTAGTACTAACTATTTAATAATATTTTATTAAAAGGGGGGGGCATCAAATTAAAGAGGGTTTTAAGAGAATTTATAGATTGATAGCCTACAATGTTCCTAGGATGCCTGGCATACAAGAATATATTCAGCAGCCAATCCAGAATGGTCTACGAGACAAAGCTTCTTATGTAAGGAGAGTAGCTGTTCTTGGATGTGCAAAGATGCAAAAACTCCAAGGAGATTGTGAAGTGGGTAAATAAACATTTTTTTTTCCACTCCCTTTTCAATCCCCCCTCTCCATTCCTGTTAGAATAAATATGTGGCATATTGTTTTAATGCTATGAAGAGAAAGTTGGGTTTGAATGCTGTAACAGTTCTACTTTGCACGTAGAGAGCCCCCTTCACATCAGATATATTCTGCTGAGTGCGATTCTTCCTACCTTGCCCCATAATTACTTGCCAGCAACCCTTCTCAGCAAACTCATATATATA